GGGGGGGGGGAAAAGAATTTTCTTCAGTTTTAGCTTTAGACCCAGACTTTTGTAGTACTGGTAGCCCTTGGTTAGTGAACAAGAAAAGTCACCAGATGAGCGAGACTGTGTAAAACAAGCCACTGCGAAAACCGAAGGTGCCATATGCGTCAAAAATACTGCGTGAATTAGTTCAGAAATTTATGCAGCCATTCTTTTACCTGATTGACTTTAATTACACGTGCCCGCGCATAAATGCCTTCCTGCAGTGGAGCCATCACGTATTGGTCCTGTCGTACTATGGGCACTGCTTCCAGACTGTTTCTGAAAAAAAAAAACACTTCAGTTCTGGCCGGCAGACGTGTTACTTCGTTGTCATGCAATAACTCGAAGGTTCGACTCTGCCAGTAGGACAACCAATCCCTCTACGATTAGTTTCGATGGTAAATTGGTACTGGCATGTGTCGAGGAGTCAAACCCGCCATCAGCTTGCTTGTAAGCAACCCTCAAAGGAGGGAGCCACCGACAATTTTGTCAGCGAGTGATTGCTTTTGGCATTTGCTACCACTCAAACTATTTTCCGAGTGCCTTCGTCTCTCTCTCTGAGAGTGAAGTACAGAAAGGGGCTTTGATTTTTGACTTCAACTTCGCATTTTAAATGTCAATGAAAACAGTTACATAAAGCCTATAAAACCCAAAGAATGCCAATAATACCAATATTAAAATACAATGAAAACTAAAGATTACACTGACGCAGTTCCAAGATAACTTAATTTCAGTTAGGCAAAATCAACTCTGCGTAAACTAGGCATTAGCAGAAATTAATATCTTAACGAAAGAGAACTTTTTATCAATGCAATAACAACTTTGCTTATTTAAAGTAAACGTAAAATAGAGCAAAAACCACTTAAGAAAAGTCTCAAAATCATTCCTCATCCTATTTGAGGTTAAACTTTATAACCCCTCATCTTATTGAGCTTTGAGGTTAAACTGCCTTATCAATCTGTGTAATTTTACCCAACGCTAAAATACTATTTAAAACGATCAAACGAGGAATTCGAAGGGCTCAAAAACACATCACAGGAAGAAAATAAAAAGTAAAGGGTTGAGTAAATATAGCCTGGAACTGATTCATCAAAATCAAAAGCAAAAAAGTGGATTTAAATTCGACAAATTTTTACGTTTCGAGGGTAGCACATGAATATGAAACATCACATAATTTTAATTTTTAGTTTTTGAATGAATTTTCTTGTCTAATTTTTGAACGGTTAAATTTCTCGGCAAAAAATTCGTCTGCCCATATTCGAGAATTAGGCGTAAGTGAAAGTTTTTTTTCGGATTTAAATTTGCAAAGTTGAAAACAGACAGAGATGGCACCTCTTCGTTCACTTAAGCCAAGATGATTCAACGATTAAACGATATCTTTATATGTATTAAAGATGAAAAGAAGAGACCCCAAGACGAAGAGGATGTGTGAGACATAAACTATTAAAATTTAAAAGAATCGTATAAACTTACACAGAAACTACTAAAATTTATAATAATCGTATAAACTATCAAAAATCGTATAATTATTAATCGTATAGCTTTTAATCGCATAACTATTAACCGTATAACTATTAAAAGAATCGTATAAACTATAATCGTAATTGTATAAACTATTGAAATTTAAAAGAATCGTATAAACTTACTTACAATTCAATCGTATAAACTTACAATTCATGAGTTCGCAGCATTTGTGTAATATGATTCACGGGTTTCACCCAAATACAACTCGGAGATGTAACATGTGAAACGATGCAGGTAGCTGTACGAGTCAGCGGTATACGATGAATCTGAAAAAAAAAAAATTAACGTCATTCAACGACGAATGCAAAACCCTAAAAAACGGCTTCTGCTTTCGCTTGCAGAAAGGCACCAATGTTATGCTCTGCAGGCGGGGTTTGGAGACAAGATAAAGGAGAGGAACAAGCTTTTTTATGAAGCTGTTTATGAATTTGATGCTTAGGTAAAGCTG